GGGGGGGGGGGGGCAATTCTCCATGCACCGCCACAGCAGTAGCCTCGCCGAGGCAGGCCAGAGAGAGCGTGCGCAGGCATCACCTGCGGGTGACGGGGGAGGCAGGGTTTGCTCAGGATTCGAGGAGGAGCAGACACCAAGGGTGGGGGTTCCGGCTCCCTGTGTCAGCAGGAGTCTCGCTAAAACCGACTCTACACGGTTGGACACGGAAGCCCACGGTCGGCCTCGTGAGATGCGGGCTCCGGGAGCCCGGCCAGGGTGTGGTCCAGGAGACACGGTTTGTCCTTCTCTACCACAGCCCACTCTTTGCCGTCACAAACCCTCCTGGGGTTCAGTGAGCGTACTTGCTAGAGAGATCGAACGCCGGCCCTCGGCCTGCTTGGGGCCCACACTGAACTGTCACGTGGACCTAGAGCCCCGCCCTCCCGGAAGGGCTTCTCCTTCTCCCGCTGACCACACGGCCAGCAGGCCGGCGCGGCAGCCACCCCCGTCTCCTCCTCCAGGCCTGCGTTTCCCCTCGCCTCCCTCATGCCGGCCGAGAGCTATGACGAGTATGTGAACAGGTGTGCGGTGAGCGTCGGATGGATCACCAGCATCCGCCCACGGGACGGTAAGGGCCTCCCGCGTCCCCCAGCCCCCGGCCCTGGGGATGGGCAGCCCCCTGGGGAGGTGGGGTCTTACCTCTGGGGTGGAAACTGGCCAATTCTTAGAGTTTAGGAAAGCCCCAACCTCGTCCGCCCCCTCCCCAGCCAACAGTGTCACACGGAAGCCTCTGCAGTCACCGGGCGCGTGGCCACATACCTGTCACCACCCGGGGGGGGGGGTCCCGATTCTGTCACCGAGAGCCGATGGGATCCAGGATGGCAGGGTCAACACAAACCGCTCGTGTCCGCTTCCTAGGAAACAAGGGACTAAGAATGGAACGCGAACCAGATGTCAGGTCACATTCAAACAAAACATCTGTACATGTAGACAGTTGAGACCGTTAGAGAAACCTGAATACAGAATTTGAGTGTGGAGTCTGAATGTGGACATGCCTGAGAAACCGTGTGAATGCTGTTAGGTGTGACGGTGGCAGGCTGGGCGTGGCAGGGTGGGAAGTGGTCACGTGAAGGGGCAGACTGAGGTATAGTCTGTGGAATGGTGGGACGGTGGGGGTAGTGGGGGAGGGGCAGTGTAGCTCACAGATGGTGCGCGATGTGCCAATGTCATGCCGTTGCGGCTCCGGGATGCATTAGACCCACCTGTGGGCCTACTGGGGGATATTTGAAAACATCCGTGGTAAAAGTTGACACGTAACCCTTTAGAATTTTAAGTTAGCACGCTGAGCATCAGCGACGTGTCAGAGACCAAATAAAACGTCGTGGGGAAAATCCAAGCGAAGAAGGCACGCGCTCTGCCCTCAAAGAGTTTGGAGATTGTTGGGGAAAGGCATGACATCCAGAGTATTAGGAGTTTTGAATAACACGAGGAAGAGTCTCCGAGGCAGTGAGAGACCACCAGACCCGCTTCCCCACCTGGTTATCCTTCGTCCCTCATCCCGCAGACTCAGGCAGAGATGTCTGCTGACGAGGGAAGACCATCTCTGCTCTCAGGGAAGAGCTGAGCACCTGGCCTCCCCGGACAGTCCCAACGCGCCAGGGGGACGCGCTCCCTCACATCCTGTAGGAAGAGACCCAAACCTTGCCGCGCCCAACTCCCCCAAACACAGCCGGCCACGAGGCTGCTTTACAAATGGCCCATTTTGACCGGTTGGCACCCTGGGAAATGTGCTTCCAGAAGCCACACCTTAGTGGCATTTGGTTGATTCTCAAACTCCTGTTACGCACAGTTACTGCGACAGAGGGCCTCAGGACAGACAGTGACGTGAGAGCCTTTCGCTGTACAACGGGGGCCCGTCCTCAGGCCACCGCTGTCCAGCTGCTCCAGTTCGAGCCTCCGTCCTGAGCTGAATTTCAGTGTCCACAGGATGCTCTGCCCTTCCGAGGACACTCCCCCCGTTACAGGGGTGAGGCCTTCTGGAACAGGGATGGGGATCTGCTCAATCAGCTCCAACCCCTCTGAACACTGTCTTGTGACACTCACCGCAGGGAACACAGCCCATCCGTCCCCGTGTGGCTGAGGCTGTCAGGATGCAATGCTTGAGGGACAGGACAAGTCGGATTTGGAAGGTGAGCGGTGCTGGAGAGGGGACAGCATGAGGCAGGCGGGAGCGTGACAGGTGTGGCCAGCGGCAGAGGAGGAGTAAAAACTCCAGGTGGGCTGGAGCGTAAGAGCCGACCCCACCGGTCCCCGGGCAGACGTTATCTGTGAACTGGTCACCGTCCTGCACAGCCTGGCGTCACCTCCACGCACACCCCATGACTCTGCAGCCCAGAGGACTGAAGCCTACGTGCCCACGTCACCCAAGCACCGAGAGCACAGGCCCAGAGTCGAAGCTGTGCGTCTGCCTCCCAGGCAGCATCCCGGCTGCCACCGCACCGTGACTTCGGAGGCCAGAGATGTGAGAGCGGAATTAACAGGAAATAGTACATCAGGGCTTCAGTCACGCTGGAGAATTCAGTGTCAGGAAGCAGCAAGAATGAATTGTTCTGTGTCGGCCAGAACCTTCAGGGGAAGCTCTCCACCCGACTGCCTCCTCCAGGTGGATCCTGTGGGGCCAGCCACAGCACCTCGTGGACCCACCAGGACCTGCCAGCTCCCCCCAGCTGTGACTGGTCCCCGTGGCAGTCACGCCCGCCAGCAGAAGACTCGCTCCACCCGTGGACTCGGGGTGTCATTATTGAAGCGAGAGGCATCAGCAGGCTCGTGGTGGCTGATGCCTTTCAAGCTGAGGGACCCAGCCTTGGAGGCAGCCATCACATCCCGCAAGAGGTGGTCCCTCAGGTCACAGCGCAGTCTCATCCCCAAAGCTCCCGACAGGCGCGGCCACCCCCAGAAGGTGCACGAGGATGTGATACAGCAGGGACCGTGCACACGCATGGGGTACCCGCAACTCGGGGTTACCTGCTGCACCGCTTCCGACCCGGGATCTCTCAAGGCTTTGTGTACCCCGGGGGTGATTCCACCCGATGACTTTGGGGACTCTCGTTCTACTAGAAGGCGCTCTCCGTGCCTGCTCTGACTCCGAGGTGTCCCTTTCTGTACAGTAGGCGTCATCCTGATCGTGGGCCATGGCTCAGCGCTGGACTCCTGCACCCGCCCACTCCTTGGGCTGCCTCCCCGCGACAGCGGAGACTTCGCCCAGCTCGTGAGAAAGGTATGTGCCTGCCCCTTCCTCCCCTTCGGGCCGTGAAGTCAAGCACACGGGGTCATCACGCTCCCCTCTCAGAATGAAAGCAGGCGTCCAGACAACCCAGGGCAGCAGGGACGCCCCCCCACCCCACCCACCCTGTGTCCTGAGAATGTGCGCACCTGCTCTTACACAAAGGGCGGTCCTGGGTGGGGGGCTGATGGGAGCGGTTTGTCATCTTTATCATCATTATGGCAACTTTGGCCATTTGCTGCCCAGATAATATGAAAAATAAGAAACAGGCAGTCCCTGTAGTGGACCAGATGGTCCAGTGAGTAGTAAGCCATGTGGATACAAGGACAAAGGACAACTGCGGGGCTGGCTTGCTCTGGGGACCCAGGGGCAGGGGGTGGGGGGCTCGAGGACAGAAAGGAACCCCCACCCTTCGCCTTTGGAGTCAGCCCACCATGGAACACACAAGCACTTGCGGTGACGGCCGGCGTGTCCGGGGCCGGGCTGGGGCTCTGCAAACACTCACAAGAAAAGCTAACAGGTGACGGATGTGTAGAGAAGGGTAGTGAGTGGTCTGCACCGACCTGTTGACAGTCACCCAGTGAAATGACTCGAGGCAGGCAAACTGGGGGCTCAGACACACCCCCTGCTCCCGCACCGAAAATCTACTCAGGGCCAGACTTGCCCACTGTCCTTGGCCTTTTTATCAAACTAATTGGCCAGTGACCTTGAGGCCAGGAGTACAGTGGCATAAACGACACTTGGGATGGGTGATGGGCCCCTGAGCTGGTTCCTTCGTGCAAAATCGTCACAGGACCACGACCAGCCCCAGCTTGTTTGCAGAGGGGCTGCCCCGTGCCCTGCCCGGCCCACACGGGCTCTGTGCCTACGCAAAGTTCCCGGCTTTCGGAGCCCCGCCCTGCCTGCCAGAGAAAGCCGGGTCTTCCCTCACGGGGGGCGAGTCGGAGAGCGATACCTGCGTGCACCCTCTCTCTTCCCATTCACTTTCCTCTGGACCTGAGTGGAAGCCCCTCAGAGTGCCCCCGAGGTGGGCTTTCCCAACTGTGACCCAGATGTTCCCGAGCCCTTAGGGGTCCTGGGCCACCGACTACCACTCTCCGAGTACAGGGCTCGAGGCCACACTGGGTGAGGATGCACTTTTCTGGGGTTTTCCTGGTCGGCCCCCGCGCACCTGCTCCCCGTCTGTTGCTCTAGCCCCTGTCCACCTCCCCTGTGCTCCCGTGCTGCCCGCTCCTGCTCCCGCGCCCCTCCCCCCTCTCCTGGGGCTCCAGGTCACCCCCACGATGGCCACCGCACATGCCAGCTGCTGACCGTTGCATGTGGAGGCTGTTCCAAAGCCCTATTAGTCTCTGCAGCCCCATTCCCACCCACTGCCCCGACCCTTGGCCAGCCTTGAACTTCCAAATTCCTCTGACATTTTTATCCTGACACTTTGGTGCCCACCCCACCCCAACCCCAAATAAGCTGCACTCGCCTGCACACAGCAGAAATTTACCAAGGGGCTCTGTGGAGCCACGGGCCTTCAAATCGAGGGCAGACGGAAACAGATCGTTCACGACCTTCCCCTTGCCCACCCCATCGCGCTGCCTCCCCGTGTACACACACACGCACACGCACACACATACAGTCACACGCACACACACACAACCACACTGGTGTACATGTGCACGCACAGAGATGCATACACATATGTGTGTACACATATATACATGTGTGCACATGCATACACACATGTGTGCACTTGTACAGGCACACGTGCATACACATGCACGCACACATCCATGCATGCACACAGGTGCACACACATACACATGCGCATGCGCACACATGTGCGCATGCACACACATACATACACACACATACACACATGCACACTGGTGTACACGTGCACACACATACACAGGCACATGCACACAGGGGTACACATGTACATGTATGCGTGCACATGCACACATATATACACATGCATGCACACATGTGTGCATGCACACACATACACTCACAGACACAGATGCACACAGGTGTACACACACAGGTACATGCACACAGGTACACACGTACACATGTGCACGCATATGTGTGTGCACATACATGTGCACGTGCACGCATGTGCACATGCGTGCATGCGTGCACACATGTGTACATTGCACACATAAATACATGCATGCATACACGTGCACGCATGCACGCACACATGCACACAGGGGTACACATGTACATGTATGCATGCACACACATATATATACACATGCATACGCACATGTGCACATGCACACACATACACTCACAGACACAAGTGCACACAGGTGTACACACAGGTACATGCACACGTGTGTGCATGCACATATGCATGCACACACGTGTACACATGTGCGTACATGTACGTGCATGCACACACACACGCACACACATGCACAGTCTCTCTAAGTAGGAGAGAGTCATCCTGAGTCAGCGCCATCATCCACGTGGACCCCCACCGCATGTTGGAATTTCTGCAAATTTTGTCTCACCAAGAAACTTCCAGACATCAAAAGAGAGAAGAAAAACAGGAAAGCAAAACATGCAAAGGACAACAACAACAACAAAGCCTTAAAAACAAAGATTTCCACAAACACGTTCATTTTACAGATGAAGGGATTAAGGTCTAAAGTCTCACTTTGCGGTTTTTTCCTGGGCTCTGAAAACGCCTATATCTTTTCGCAATGCCAACTTTGAGAATGTAAGTCACACTTCAAGCTGTAGCCTGGGCACCGTTGAGCCTCGGGCAGGATACTTCTGTGCCGCAGGGTGTCCTGGGCACCGTAGATATCAGCAGCATCCTTGGCCTCTGCCCGTTAGATGCCAACAGCACCCCCAGTGCCACCGGCTTATTGCTGGTCCGCAGACATCGCCCTGGTCCGTGGGAGCGAGGGGCGCGGCCCCGCTGGGGACGGCTGTGTGAGGCGCCAGCATCATGTTTCAGGCAGCGGTGCCAGCGAGGGCCCATCGTGCCCACCTCCCCGGCTCAGCAGGGCCTGTCTGTTGGGTCTAGAGCGACTATAAAATCGATCGACCTCCTACAAGATATTAACAAGTGATTGAAAACTCTGTCCTAGATTCCTTCTCTGGGTATGTGCTTCTGCGAAGAAAATAAAGAGGAAGGGAAATGGGACTTGGTGACCCCTCCCGTGAAGACGCTGACCCACGGCTCGAACTCCGCGTTCAACTGGAGGAACTGGATCCCGGGCAGCTAAGAGACTCGCTCGTGCTCTGCGCGGCTCGTGCCGAGGAGGCCCAGCTCTCGGCGGGGCTGGGCGATGCCGGCGTTTGAGGGGGTCCGACGCACCCTCAGTGTGATTTGTAGACGCACAAGACGCACTTTCACGTCCCAGGACGTTCAGCCACCTGCCGCCACCTTCGTAGCCGCCGCAGGTGGACCTCTGTCCTGCGAGCTCAGACCCTGTAAGGTGTGGACGTGCCGCGTGGCCCGGAGGGAAGCGGGTCACCGTGACCCACCACAAAGGACAGAAGGACCTGCCCACTGTGGCTCGTGGGTTCCCCGTCATTCTCCCAATTCTGTTTCAACCCTCTTTGGGCTATGTCTACACAGACCCAAAGGGGGCGTAATATGCAATAAAATCTCACCAGAAACCACCCACCGGCTGGAAATCAGGGCCCCGCAGCTCACGATGCCCGCTCCCCGGGTACTGGTTCTATCGCCGCACAGTAAGTCACCACGGAGCGGCGGTCAGGGACAACACGCATTTTTGAACACACACACGCAAATCAGTCCTGTTCCGGCTCTGCAGGTCAGGATTCCTAAGACAGGTCAGCGGACTCCGTGGCCCCCAGAGGCTGTGGGGGGGTCCGTCTCCTGGCCTTTCCCGGCTGCAGAGACCCCTGCCCTCTCCGCCTCCATCCGCACACGGAGCGTCTTCAGGTCTGTCCCTGCCCTCCGCTTGCACCGCCTCACACCCTCACACCCCCAGCCCCCTGCGGTAAGGTCTCTTGCGGTTATGGAGGGTCCTCCCGACAGTCCGGGACGACCTTCTGCCGCAAGACGTGCAGCTTAATCCCATCTGCATGGTCCCTTTTGCCCTGTAAGGGACACAGCCGCAGGTCTGGGATTGGGATGTGGATGTCTTTGGGGACAGTCGTCACCCCCCACACGCCACGCATGGGGCTGCTTGTACGGGGGCCCCGGTATGAGGAGGAGACGCGCTTCCCTCGTGCAGGCCTGCCCCAGCTTCTCCTTTTCTCCCTTTTGGCCAAGTCGGGGCGGGGGGGGGGGGGGGGGGGGGGGGGGGGGGGGGGGGGGGGGGGGGGCGTGGCCTGACTCACAGGAACACCCACCGGCACGGGGACACCTGCCAGGATGCTGCAAATCCAGGGGTGCCTCTGACTCCAAAGCAGCTGGTCCAGGTGGCCGATGGGAGTCTCTCCCATGGTGTCCTCTCCCCCCACCCCCCACTGGTCACAGCGGACCCCACCGCCAGCGCACTCAGTGCCCCAGACAAAATCCCACCACGGTGCGGTGAGCCCGACTGGACTCCCTGCTCTCCCACCGTGCTCCAGTTCTGACATTTCATTGTCGCGATGGGGGACCGTGGGGGACCGTTGCTGACCCGTGCCTGGCCTTTCTCAGGGAAGTACCCGCCCCGTCCCCAGCTCTCCCCTGCTGTCTCCCGGGCAAGGCTGGGGCCACACAGTCCGTGGAGCTCTTGAGGAGCAGAGAGGGTGAACCCAGAGTGGACCCCGGAACCCGCACAGGAAGCGCCACGTCCCAAGGGACACACACAGGCTTTGGAGTCTAACTGTGGAGAGGAAGACAAAAGTGTCTGTCCCTTGTTTTACTTACTCGTGACATCATTTTTCTGTCTCCAAACATAAAGCAGTTTAAGGTTGACACAGAAGAGAGAGCAGAGGGCAGCCGGCTCACAGGCGGCTCCCATATCTGGTCGACAACACAGTCTCCCGGAAACAACCCTGCACACGTCCCAACAGGAACTGACCAGAAAGCCAATGGGTGCCCTGGGGCACCTCCTACGGGTCCGTCCTGCCTCGGAGCACCCGGACGGCCGCCCCTTTCTCTGCAGCCAGTATGTGACTGGGAAGAAGTATTTCCTTGTTTTCTCTCCCGGATACCCCCTGGTGCCACCCGGACACTACTAATCATGATGATGATTAAAAACCTTACAAATCAAGCAAATGGCATTTAAATAGTGGCCCCTTCTTTGGGGCGGTCCCAAGGTGTCTGGATTTACCCTTTCGGGAGGGAGGCTTCTGGGTCACAAGCCCCTGACCCTCCTCCTTGCTGGGCTGCTGGTGGGGTGGGGCGAGGGACGGACAGATGGGTTTGAATCTCAGATTCCAAGGCCAACGTGGGGCGCCTGGGTGGCTCAGTTGGCTAAAGCATCTGACTTCAGCCCAGGTCACGATCTCACAGTTTGTGGGTTCGAGCCCCGTGTCGGGGTCTGTGCTGACAGCTCAGAGCCTGGAGCCTGCTTCAGATTCTGTGTCTCCCTCTCTCTCTCTGCCCCTCCTCTGCTCACGCATTCATTCTCTCTCTCTCTCTTTCAAAAATAAACATTAAACAAAAAACCTATAACAAAAATAGCAAGAAATGCCATTTTCTTTCTATTCTAGAATTCTGGTCCCCGCTAGCCCCTCGTTCTGACACAATCACAGGAAAGCCCAGTTCTGTCACTTTTGGCTTCCAGAACGAGCCTCATCATAAGCACGGGACCCTGAGAACAGAGCCGCCCGGCAGGAGGGCGGGAATGGAAGTTTATCGTCAGTTGGTGCCAGTTTTCAGTTCCACGAGCAAGGAGCCCGGAAACCCAGAACGATCCCCTAAGCTCTCGGAGGGTCTGTCCAGCACCCCTGCGTTTGTGAACCTAGACTGACCCCTGCTGACGTCCTCTGGAAATGCTTGCCCTGCTACCGCGGCGCCCCCCACCGCCTGGGCCACCCAAGTCATCTCTGGTTTCCTCAGCAGTGAGCTGGAAAAAACACACGCGGAAAGAGCTCCCCGCGCGTCTGCTGCCTGCCCTGATGTGGCGAATAATTTGTGCACAGTCACCAAAGCCCCCCTCCGCCCCACCACGGGCTGTTTTGAAGATGAAAGCGCGGGGGGGGGGGG